GAGAGAGAGAGAGAGAGAGAGAGAGAGAGAGAGAATGAATCTCAAGCAGGCTCCATGCTCAACGCCGGGCCCAACACAGAGCCCCATCCCATGACCCTGGGATCATGACCTGAGCCGAAATGAGTAGGACGCTCACATGAACTGAGCCACCCGGGGAACTCCCCTTTTTCCTTTTTTTTTTTTATGTTTAAAAAAGATTGGCATTGAAATAATTGGGAGATAGAAGGTGGTAAGTGGAGTAGGTCCTCGAGTGAAGGGAACCGTTCTGATGCCAATTGTTTTTGAAATCAGGAGACTCCAGCACGTTTAGAGGCTGAGGGGAAGAGCTGCGTTCCTGTGTGTTTGTGTGTCAGTGTTCAGTGGGGCAGGTGGAGGAGGGAGGGAGGAGGAGCCCAGATAAGATTTGCTTTCACCAGGAGGCAGGACACTTCAGTCTCTGCTGACAGTTGTCAACGGAGATAAAGCTGTCAGTTTGGGTAGGGCAGGAAGTTGTGGCAGTCCTACCCCTTGGCCTTCCTTTTCCCAAAGTGGAAGGTAAGGTCATACCACTTTGTGCCTCTGTGCCTGGTAAGTTTCTACTCCTTCCTTTAAAAATCAGCTGTAGGGGCACCTGAGTGGCTCAGTTGTTTAAGCCTCTTGGACTCTTCATTTGGGCTCAGGTCGTGATCTCACGGTTGGTGGGTTCCAGCTTTGCTTTGAGCTTTGCCCTAACAGCACAGAGCCAGCTTGGGGATTCTCTGTCTCCCTTTCTCTCTGCCCTCCCCTACTCAAGTATGTGCCCATGTGCTCTTTCTCTCAAAATAAATCAATAAAAACTTAGGAAAAAAAGCAAAAGTAAAAACGAGGTGTAGATCTCTGCCTTTGCAACCCCTTTCCTGACCCCTTCCTTCTAGAATCACCTTGGTGGGGTGGGGGGATGGGGGAAGGAAGGGGGCTAGTTAAGCTTTCAGAGTCCCTGAACACTCTAAGACTTAAAGTTAGAATTTCTGAGCGGTGGCACGCAGGATCTACATTTGAAAGAACAGCCATGGGGAATTCAGGTGGCGCAATAAAGTTGGAGAACCACCCCACTAAGTGTTCCCAATTCATTTTACAACCCTCCATTATTGCAATTAAACTATTCCCTTCCCCACCGTGTTCCTCTTGGGAGGGAATGTCTCTTCATTTCTGGGCTTTCAAGTACAGCCCTGCACTATGTAGGCTGGGAGAGTGGCCTTGGGTTCTTATTTGTGAAATGAATGAAATGTCCAGAGCTGGAGCCCTGGTGTCTCGACCCCCCCTGACCCACAACTTCCCTACCCCATCATGGGTTATCTCCATAGGTCTCTGAATTCTTAATGAAAGCATTTCCTGCTTGGCTATGCCTGAACATCATATGCAAACTTAACCTCACACACCCACGTGGAGAGATCCTGGGAAGAATGGGGCTTATGGAGGATTGATTGCTCTAAGGAAAGTCAAAGTGTGGTCCGCAGCAGGGGTGCCAGAGCACCTGGCTCCAGGGGTCCCAAGCTGGGTTTGGCCACTCCCCGCTGATAAAATCCAAAGGCAGAGAGATGAGTGGTGGAGAAACAAGAAAGGGATTTTATTTCAGTGAGGCCAACACCAGGAAGACAGTGGACTAGCTTCTCAAAGACTGTTTCCAAAGTGCTGAAAATACTTCCAGGTTATGTAAGGAGAAAGTGGGACAAAGGTTGGTCAATACAGGCAGGTGGGCAGTGAAGGTCAAGTCGTCATTGTCTTGGGGTCAATCCCAGGCAGGTGTTGCTGGCTCAGGGCCGTCTTGATTGCTTGAGGGGGTCGTTTTGTTCCCATCAGGGATGCTTTGCCCTCAGGGTCTTTTGCCTAAGTTAAGAGACAAGCTGGAAAGAACAACTTAATCAGTTAGAAAGTTTGAGGTCAAAACGAGGTTAAGTCCTCCTTCAAACTTGAGGTGCTCTGAAGTCAAGGGAGTAGAAGGGCACCTGGCTGGCTCAGTCGGTAGATTGTGCAACTCTTGACTTCAGGGTTGTGAGTTCAAGCCCCACATTGGGTGTAGAGATTACTCAAAAATAAAATCTTAACAACAACAACATGAAGTTAAGTGAGTGGAATCAACACGAATTCAGATGCACAAGACCTCTACAGCTGGTGTCTGTTCTGAGTGTCACCCAAGTTTCCCCCCAAACCTATCAAGGAGTTAAAACATACTCCGGAAAAGAACCCTGGAATGTAACAGTTAAGGTGGATGCTCGGGACATAATGAGTCCTAACAGAAGGCTTGTGTGTGGCTTGTCTGGAGAAATTATAGGGTATCTCCCACACTACCCAAGGATAAAGATGCTCTGATACTATTGGCTAGTGCTGTTCGTTTAGAGAGAACTAGTCCAAAAGAATGGCAGTTCATCTTAGAAGAAATCATTATATCTCCTAAGAACAGCAAATCCCCTTTCTTTAATCAGAGACTTTACTGACCACCTCCCATGGGTCACGGGCCTTTACTAGCTGCTGGAGATATGACCGTAGGCTAACAGGCACAGTACTTGCTCTTAAGGAGTCAGTATTGTTGCCACCCAGTCACTCAAATCCCAGTCTGTCATTTGGTACGCTTTGTGGATTTGCCTGGCAAGGCATAGGACTCTGAGCAAGTGACCAGAGCCAATTATTTGGCCAGCGAGCCCTCCTGTTCGCACACTGATAACATTCCAGTTTTGAATCACCTGTGACTTGGGTGAAAGTGACACATTTCCCAGAGTGTGGTCTCCTCTGGATAAATGCCTATAAACCTGAGTCCGCTGGTGAGCTTGATATAACAGCCCTGCCCTGGGAAGGCCAGCAGCGGGCAGTGGCCAGCCTCCAGTGGCTCTCCATTGCTGCACTGCCTTGGCTCCTCCCACCAGCCCCACGTCTGGATCCCTTGCTTCCTGAAACAGGGCCTTCTATTAGTCTGTCTAATTTTGCGTTTCTTGCAGGTGTCCTTGCCTGCCCTGGTAGCCCACTGAGAGGTTGCTGAGGGGATTCTTGGAGCATCAAATTCCAAAGAGCTTGAGTCAGAAGAAGCTTTGCAGCCCAGGGCTGACTTTGAAGGAAGAGGGGGCAGGGGCGGCTGATGGTAAGTGGAGGAGAGTGGGCATAATAGGAACAGACGTGGGATCAGCTACACTTGTGACTTTGAGGACGGTCCCCAGCTTCTTAGCTCCCCTGAGAGAAACCATGAAAGCTGAAACCAGGATCCCAGGATCCTTAGCTAGTAATTCCTAAAAGCAGCATTTACGAGATCTGGCTCTGGAAAACATTCACTCAAGGGTAGGTCCACATTTGGGTGAATGAGACCTACATATTTCTGAGGGGCAACACTTAAGCAAGAAATATAAAATTAGACAGGGTAGGAGAAGACCCTGTTTCAGGAAGCAAGGGATCCAGAAGCTTTAGCCTCAGTAATTTCACAGTAACCCATCTTTGCATTCATGCTAGAGGGTAAAAGTATTGGGTGTCTCTGATCCCAGAGGATGCTTAAAGGAAAGAAGGAGGCAGGGATGAGAGCAACTTTAAAGTTTTACCTCCTTGTTATTAATCACATTTTCTCTTCATCCCCCACACCCAGTTACAGGTCTAAATGTTGGACGAAGCTATTCATGGACAGGTATCATTTATTTTAAAAAATTTTTAATTTGTTTTTAATGTTTACTTTTGAGAGAGAGAGAGCATGCACAATCAGGGGAGGGGCAGTGAGAGAGGGAAATAGGATATGAAGCAGGCCCTGCGCTGACAGCAGAGAGTCTGATGTGGGGCTTGAACCCATGAACTGTGAGATCATGACATGAGCCGAAGTCTCATGCTTAACCGACTGAGCCACTCAGGTTCCCCTGTCATTCATCTTGAATCCCCAGTACTTCACACACAGCACAAGCAAAGTATTTGTTGAAGGAATGAGTGGATGAATGAATGAAAGAATGAGTGAATGAATGAGTGAATTCTCCCAGGTCCTAAGAATTGAGAGTCCTGTATATCCCTCTCTTTCTTTCTTCCTTC